AGTTTGTTTGTTTATGAAACTTAAATTTAATTAATATAATTTAACTATTATGGTTTTATACTACAGAACCCTAACTCAAACACGCAGACTGCTCCTCAACCGAGTAAAAGTGTCGCCTGCACATAAACTTCTGTGTTTTGAGCACATTTGGATCAGATTGTGGATCGCGACTCACCCAGCTGAGGAAACGAACCACCGTTTGCGGCTGTTTGATGAATTTGACGAGGTCGAATCCCGCTCCGGCGAGAGAAGCTCCGTACGCCACACTGCGCGACTCCATCGGTAAAACGCACACTCAAACACACACACACACATGCACACACACACACATGCTGTGCTTTGGATACACAGTGCAGGTCAGATCGCAACTTTACATGTGTGTCTAAATGTTTCTTTTGCAGGAAACAGGAAAGAAAGAAAAAACGTGAAAGATAAAGTTGAGCACACAATGGGCGGCACAGCCATTATCTGAGCAAGTGTTTATTCTGGAGGCAGTCATGAAGGTGAAACAGAACTAATGATGATACAAGATTAATCCACTGTCATTGGTGCAAATGAATAGCCGGAGGGTGCCAGGAAAACACATCTATCACTAGGAATGGAGAGAGAGAGGGAACAGGGGCTCGAAGATAATGAGTGCAAAAGAAACACGAAAAAAGCAAGGTGTGCTCGTCCTTCCGGTGGGATGGAGCGCATTGGTATGCATCTGGCGGGGCAATGAGAAAATGTCTGTAACCTCACAAGCATCGTCTGACAGATTGGATTGCATCTGTTGAATCAGTTGAAACACCCCCTCCTAACACACACACACACACACACAAATACAGAGAAATCGGTTTGTCCCATGCAAGGACACTGTTTCCAGAATCTTCCATGGCACAGGACATCACAGCACAGATTTCAGATGGGACATCATGTGGCGATTCAATATGCCAGACCGAAAACAGACACTGAAATGAATCAACAGTAATTTGGAGATAGAAAATGACCAATATTTGAGTTTTAGTGTGTATATTACAGTGCTGGGCAAAATCTAATCTTGATGAATCACATTTACAAAATTAAAGTTTGTTTTGACCTTTTTCTTTTTGTTCTCAACCATCCAACTTGCTTTAAAATGCTGTAGATATTAACATGTGTACATGTTTTATTCAGTTTGCCTTAAAACAAAAAATAAACCCTCTATAGGAAAAATAAACACATTAGATTTTCCTCAGAGTATTTTTACTCCCAACCCAGGCTCATTCTGATTATGTACCCTTATTTACATTTACGGAGAGTTTTTGTTTTCATGAATCCATCAGAGGGCACTGTGTGCACTTTTTCAGATCTCAAAAGGTCTCTCACGAGGGCCATTCGTGCCTGCTGTTCTCACGTAAATCCACCAGAGGGCGCTGTCGACTGATTGACTAATCAACTGATCAATCGACCCCTAAAAAACAAAAGTCCTTGCGGCTGCTTGATTTTTTTTACCACATTTTAAGATCTTACCAAATTTTCACCCTGTTATTTATTTTATTTTTTGGCTTCTATTTTTGTTTTACCTGCTTTCTGGAACCAATCTTCACCAGACTCGAACCCTATCATCACAGTCAACTCCACTCCAGGTCACAAGGCCATCAACAAATTGGTGAAGGAGGAGGGTGGGTTAGTCGATCGGTCGATCAGTCAGTCAGTCGACAGCGCCCTCTGGTGGATTTACATGAGAACGGCAGGCGCAAATGGCACTCTTGAAAGAAATTTGAGATCTGAAACAGCGCACACAGTGACGACTGGTGAATTCATGAAAACATTCATTCATTCATTTTCTTGTCGGCTTAGTCCCTTTATTAATCCGGGGTCACCACAGCAGGAATGAACCGCCAACTTATCCAGCAAGTTTTTGCACAGTGGATGCCCTTCCAGCCGCAACCCATCTCTGGGAAACATCCACACACACATTCATTCATACAATATGGACAATTTAGCCTACCCAATTCACCTGTACCGCATGTCTTTGGGCTGTGGGGGAAACCGGAGCACCCGGAGGAAACCCACACGAATGCAGGGAGAACATGCAAACTCCACACAGAAACGCCAACTGAGCCGAGGTTCGAACCAGCAACCCAGCAACCTTCTTGCTGTGAGGCGACAGCACTACCTACTGCGCCACTGCATCGCCTTTCATGAAAAAAAAAAACTGAAAAAAAAAAAAACCTAGATCCTAGGATGTATTCGGTGCTCTCCCTAAATGTAAATAGGGGTACGTAATCAGAATGAGCCAGGGTTGGATATTTTACCACATTTCTAGATCTTACCACATTTTCACCCTGTTATTTACTTTACTTTTTGGCTTCTATTTTTGTTTTACCTGCTTTCTGGAACCAATCTTCACCAGACTCGAGCCCTATCGTCACAGTCAACTCCACTCCAGGTCACAAGACCATCAACACATGCGGTGAGCCACTGGATAAACTGGTAGCTATCCACAGGGAGGTAGGCAGTCAGCTGGTAAGCACGAAAAGGAAAGACGTCATACTGCCCTGTGGCGTTTCAAAGACGAAATGCTGCCATACGTACCTCTGGCTACAAAATTTGCGATCTCCATAAATGTAAATAGGACTACGTTTTCAGAATGAGCCTGTGTTGAAAAAAATCAAGCAGCCACCAGGGTTTTTCTTTTTTAGGGAAGGAGGAGGGTGG